GTGAAATTTGATGAGATTGTATGAACCATTATTCAGATTCGTAGTAGTCATCTTCCCACTTCATGAATATCATGGCTATGGAAAACCCTCATCTGTTGCAGCTGGTACTTTGCAGCACCATTTGATGCTTTGATCACTCTTTCTTCTTTAAAATGCTCTTGGCTACATGTCTACAGCTTCAGTTATCATGTATATACTAAAAACTTACAAATTTTTTTCTCTAGCCCAGTTCTCTTCTCTTTGCTCCAGACCTTTATATCCAACTGCCTATGACTCTCCACCTATCCCAAAACTGATTTATAATCTTTCCTGTGTTTTCCACCTTAGTTGGTAGCATCAGCATCCTGGTTTCTTAAGAAACTAGGATATTTGCTTGATATTCTGCTCTCCTTCATCATACATTGTCAATTATGTCAGTATTACTTTTTTTTTTAAGATTTTATTTATTCATTCATAAGAGACATAGAGAGAGAGAGAGGCAGAGACACAGGCAGAGGGAGAAGCAGGTCCCATGCAGGGAGGCCGACGTGGGACTCGATCCCGGGGCCTCCAGGATCCCACCCTGGGCTGAAGGCGGTGCTAAACCTCTGAGCCACCAGGGCTGCCCCCAGTATTACTTATTAAGTATCTCTCAAAGCCATCTAGTTTTCTCTATTCCACTTCCACCATGCTGGAACAATCTGTCATTATCTCTGCCTGTTTTTGTACACTGTACCAGGGATGCTGTTTTTGACATGCTTCTCTGATTGTATCACCACCGCATCACTTAAATCCCATTGCTTTTAGTTTTAATATCTAAATCTTTAACAGGTATAGAAAGCATTGTATATTCTGCTTCTCCTCTGCCTTTCCCACTTCATCGTGGACCTCTTTCCCCCTTATGCTTTCTGCTGTGGGCTCCATACAGTTCTGTGAACCTGATATACTTCCTCCTGCCTCAGGACCTTTGTACATGCTGCTCCGCGTTCTAGAATTGTGCTTTGTAATGCCATAGCTGCTAGCCATGTGTGGCAGTTACAGTTAAATAAAATCAAGAATTTTAGTTTCTCAGTCCCACTAACTACCATTTTAAGTCCTTGATGTGAGCAGTACTACCACATTGGACAATGAAGATACAGAACACTTCCATCTTTACACAAAATTCTATTGGACAGCACTCTTCTAAAATATTCTTTGCCCCTTCTCTCACCCTTCTTCCTGTGTACTTACTCAAGGAAGCCCTCCCCATCCTCCCTTCTGTTCCCAGTAAATTTTCTCTGTAACTAAGTCTCCCAGCTAAAGACCACCATGAACACATCTGTAAGCAGGATTACATTTATTTAGCCTGCTTCAGCAGGGGACCCTTAGGAACAACTCAGAAAGAGTGTTTGGGCTTACAGTGGGTAAGTGTAAGAAGGGATTACAGATGTGACCGTCAGCTCTGGACTGGATATAAGACATTGGGGGCATCTTGGAAACTGGGTAACCATGGTTCAGGCAATGAGATGAGCAAAGCAGGACTGAAGATGCCTTTGCCAAGAAAGCAGCAGTCCCTCAGAAGGAAGACATGTTATTCACTTTTATAGCAGTGTGTGACTGTCTTCTGGGCTTCTGTTGGAATGTTGCTGTTGGCCTTGTCTGTGTGCCACTGGAAGTAGTACACCAAGACTGATTGTCAGTGGGACTCATTTTTATTTTCTCAGTTCCTGGAACTCTGTTGCTCTTTTCAAGTAATGTGTTTTCTCTGCTAGACCAGAAGCTTCATGAGAGCAGAGGCCTCTTCTGGTTCACTTTGGTACCTGTAGCACCTAGGACACTGCCTGATACAAAGTAGATGCTTAGCCTTTATTGAAAGAGTGGATGAATGAATAAATGAATGATAAGACCTAAAAAAAATGGTGACTGATCACAGACCACAGGCATGGAATCAGAAAGTATCTGATTTTCTGACAGTTGAAGAATCATTTGTCTTTTCACACTAGACTCTTAGCAGGTGTCTCTTTGCTCCCACCTAAGAAAAACACTAGAATTCTAATATTCAGAATTTAAATATAACATTCTAATATTGCCTGGTATCTCAAGTCCTTTCAGGGTAGTCTTTATTTATTTTTTTTAAGATTTTATTTATTCACGAGACATGCAGAGAGATAGGCAGAGACATAGGCAGAGGGAGAAGCAGACTCCATGTGGGGAGCCCGATGCGGGACTTGATCCCAGGACCCCGGGATCACATCCTGAGCCGAAGGCACACGCTCAACTGCTGAACCGCCCAGGCATCCCTCAGGGTAATCTTTAAAGTATGTTATACCTTCTTTACTATCATTTTTGTCAGTCTGAATGAAGAAATGTATGGATGCATTATATCAGATCACGGTAAGGTATAGTGATGTTGGCTGTCTGCCTGCCTTTTGGCATCCTATGAATTAATATTAAAAGTTTTCCAAATAGTTGGTAACTGTAAAGACCCAAATGTTTCGGCTGTAATTCTCACCAAATCACGCAGGGCCATATGATCCGTCAATGTGATCAGGTCTCATAAAGAACTGTGATTTTTCCAGGTGGAATAATTTTTTTTCTTAAATTATAAAGACAATATAAAAGAATTAAGGATAACATTTTAAGCTTGAAAAAAGTAGTATTCACGTTGGTAACATGTCTACTATATTTATTTTTTCATAGTTCTTATCCACATACATTCATGTTATTGGAGTAAGATTCTCTATTTTAATCAGCGTATAGTTGACCATCTCTTTGAATCTGAACAATTGTAGTGTATCACACCTTCTTGCATCACCTGAGGGATTAGAATCATTGAATTTATTAGTCCAATATGTTGTAGTAGGCTAGTTAAGCCTTAGGCCTCAGAGTTCTATGGCATGGACAATAAATTCACTGAGGGCCATGTTTACTGATACTGGTTCATCATGTGTTGTTATGGGTTACTGCATATTCCTTCAAAGAACACCTTGGAAATGCATCTCCTCTGTCTTCCTTAAATGCCCTTTTCATCATGCTCCCCTCCTACTCAAAAATTTCCTAATTCTTAACTATACTAAGCGTAAATACCTTTTCACAGATCAGCCTGTCCAGCAGAACTTTCTGCAGTGATGGAAATTTCCTTTATTCTCTCCAGTGTAGTAGCCAATAGCCATATATGTAGTAGCCAATAGACATATATGGCAATTTAGTATTTAAGATGTGGCTGGTTGCTTGAGAAACTAAGTGTGTAACCTAGATTTTTAGATCCTCTCTTCATACTCAAATCAGGCCTATGTCCTTGGCCCCATATATGAGCCACATTTATATCTATCATTTTGTCTTGACTCATGTTGGTCCTCTGGATTACTTTTTCTCTATTCCTTCAATTAATCCAGCTTCTCTTGTAGCTTCCCGGGGTTAGAGCAATCTCCACAATTTCCACGAAATCTTCCTGTAATCTTGGTGATTTTCCTTTCCTGGCAATGCTCATTTTGTGTTTCTCCAGCTAGGACACCTGAATGAATGAATGAATGAATGAATGATTCAAAATAGACTTTCACATCTAGTCATTTGCTGTATTTTACTTCCATTTGTTCTTGTTGTTAATGTGAATTTACCTATCTCCTCTACCAGTATATCTCCTCAACTATATTTTTGAGGCCAGGACAGTGTTTTATATATTTTCTGTATTTCTCTGGGCCCATTCAGTTGGTAGAGCCCCAGAATATTCCCATTGCATGCTTTGTTGATTGATTGTAAAAGAAACACAAATCTGTTTTCTTTGATTCTTTGTCACAATTACTTAATCAGTCAAGTATTTGTGAAATGTTCCTAGGATGCACTTTGAAAGGCAAACCATTTGCTTGGATCCAGGGAATTTATAAGACTGCATAAAAAGAAGATCATATATATGTACATATAAACTGAATTCTAAAGATGGTGATTAGGGATTGTGAAGAAAATTTGGAAAATAGCTGAGTAACCCTTTCCTGAGAAGGAAACCTTCAAACTGCTAGTCAAAGGATGGAAGCTTATGGCTGGGAAATGAGAAGCAGGAAAGTTATTTCTTTGAAAGAGATCATGCAAAAAGGTCACAGTGGGAGGACCAGGTGTTTGGGGTAAATCAAGTACTTTTTCATTCTGTTATATTCACTTAAGGATCAAGAGCTGGGGCTTCTGTGCATCTGCTTTTGAAAGGGTTTTAAAATGTAACAAAGTGTATCCTACTTGCACCTAACAACAACTGGAGATCTCTGGATCCAAGCTTCATCATGTATAATACTAGGACTTAGAGTTTCCCTTAAAAGTTTTGTGTACAAAACTTACAATATTGTGATAATGACAGTCTTAGACAAGGGCACTGAATATGCACAAGTGATTACTATATAATAGAATTGAATACAGATAGAGCTCACTATGTACCAGATACTGTACTTAGTACTTCACATCTCTTATCATATTTATGCTTCTTATCACTGCAAATGAGCATTTTATAGATGGAGAAAATCTGGCCCTTGCCTCAGTTTATACAGGTAGTGGGTAAGAGTTAGAACTTGATGCTAAGACAGCCTTTCCCTAGAAACTCTGCCCCTAACCATTCTAAATACTGCCCTATGCTGTGTATGCATGTGGCCTCTCTGTAGTTAGTATTGTATTAACTTAGAATTTGTGACTTTCGGAATAAGCATTGGAGATAATAGGAAATGGAAGCAATGTTTTATATGTTTGAAGAAATAGGTTCCAGTACCTACACACTTTCAGAACTCCTGCGGACATGTGAATATGGACATATGAATAATACACAAAGCACAAATGTCTTTTCTGTTAAGTATAATCCTCAATGTGCAGGTGATTTGCAAGTTCTATGCACAAATAGTAAGTAAATATTTTCATTGTAATTGAAAACAATACTAAAAAATGTATTATCTTTCTTTCTGAAGTGAGGATAAAACTGTTTGGACACATTTATTACTCCCCCCCCCTTTTTTTTTCATGATGACTTATGTATTTGTTTTAATTTTGATGACTTTTAAATTTTGCAGAAATTCCGGAGTGCTTCAGTTGGGGCTGAGGAGTACCTGTATGACCAGACATCAGGGTAGGTTATCAGGAGATGCCCCAAGAAACTAATGAACTGATCACACTTTAAATGTATCCCCAACTTATACTTTTGAACCTTTAAAACAAATTATTTTCTTTATATAGTGACTTCTAAATTACTGTTTCCAATCTTGACCTATATTCTGAGGCCTATTCCCTTTTTCCGTTCTTCTGTTGGTTAGATATCCCTTCTTAGGTGGTTCTCTGAATCTCAGACACATGGACCTCCAACATAGTATGTGAATAATTGGAACTCTTTACCTTTCTTTTTCTTTTCTTCCTTCCTTCTCCACTTCTTTGATATCTGTTCTGCTTTTATTTCCTATTGTGGCTAATGATGCAACCATCCTCTAGTTACTCACCCTACAGGTGTAAAGATCTACCTGACTTTTTGCTACACTTTAATCACACTTGCCAAGTGCTGAATGTTCTTTTCTACATGTCCTGTTCCTTATAGCTTACTCTTATTCATATTCTGAACTGTTTTAATGTAATTGATCTTCCTGCAAGCACTTTCTTTTCTCTTCTGTTCCACTTTGCACATAATTAGCTACCAACTATCATACTGGTGCCTTCCATGTACAAGTAATGCAAAAGGTATGGGAATAAGATAGAACCTCTCCTTATAAGAAGCCCATAGACTTTTGGAGGGGACAAATGTAGTGATGGACAATTACAATTTGCTAAGAGATGAATCAGTCCTGCTACAGAGATACATAAACAGATAGCTGAGAAGACCTATGGGTCTGTGTGTGGTGGGGGTTAGGAGTGGTGGGGATGGGAAAAGCTTGCAGGAAGAGGGCATTGGAGCCAGGTGCTAAAGGATTGTGAGCAGGAGTTTTCCAGGGAAAGAAGGAAGATTAAGAACATTCTAGGTGGAGAGACCGGATGTTCAAAGACTTTGGTTATGGTCATGCCCCATGGATAGAAGAGAATGGCAAGAAATGAATTGATCTCTTTTGTTTCACAAAATTTATCAGTGATGTCACCATTTCAGACAGGATTAGACACAAATTACTCATGAAGGTGGGCAGGGCCCTCTATGTGCTGGTTCCTTTGTACTTTAAACCTTGTGTCCCACCGTATTTCTCGCTCCTTTGCTTTTACATTTGTGGTCCTCTTCTATTCTCTCTGTTTCCACCTTCAGTTCTCCTGATCCTTCAGGATCTTGCTCCAGCCTCAGGCTCCCCAGTCATCTGCCCCAGATCATCCGAGTCAGTTTCAGTGTGTGGTGTTTGTGAGTGGGAGGGGTGAAGTAGGGAACATAGAGTTCCAAGTCCCCTTCTAAAATGTGGAAATACATGTATAATTTAAATTATATATGCTATATAAACCCAGATTGCCATGTAATCAGCTATCAGGCTGGTAAAAAGAGCATTGATTGACCTGCCAATCACTGGATCTATCTTTTCTTTCTGCTGCATTGTCCACTGGAGTGATCAAGTTTCTCACCCTTTCCTCACCTGTGAAATGAGGAAGGTGCTTTTATTTCCTGTGTTATGGATACACTTGGGGAGCATGAAACCCCCAAAATTATATTCAGAACGATTTCTGTTCCTATGTGCTTTTTTCCGGGGAGAAGGTTCACAGCTTTCTTCATGTTTTTTTGGTTTTTGTTTTTTGTTTGTTTGTTTTAAGGCAGCCTGTGCCCTAGACAAAGTTGCAAGCTGCTGGTCTAGGTGATTCCTAATATCCTGTCCAGGTCTCAAATGTTATGATTCAGTAGTTGTATTGAAATTGCTTTCCAGGCAAAATAACAGTGAAATTGGTTCTGTCTTGAATGATTTATTTCCCACCATGTCCTCTAAGATATGTATTCCGGAATTTGCTTGGTTTATCAGCTCATGTGTAAGGTTGTTCTCATAAAAAGAGGAATATTATTGTGCCCTTCAAATTTCTTTCTCCTTATGGAAGTTACAAAAAATTAAACGTTGCAGAAATATTTAACCTAGAAAATAGGGGTCTCTCATAATCTTGTAAGTAGACCATTTCCAGAGGTGAACTTTGAGGCATTTTTACACCTAGCCTTTCAAAGACTATGAAATCAAAGAGCTGAGAAAATAGATAGGCCTAGTGAAGAGTTTCTGGTGATGAAGTGCACAAAGCATTGGTTATTGGATCAACACTATCAGCCATCCTGTAGTATAGCAGAAATACATATTTCTGAATCAACATACTGAACAAAAAAGACTCTGGTCTTTTTTGACCACAGTGGTCAAACCTGTTGACCACCGGTGGTTCTTACCTGTTGTTTATTTTAAGTAATTGATACATTCTTCAAAGTTGGGAAAATCAATGCTTTTATTTTGTAAATTAAGTACTATTTTAAAAATATTAGGGAAATTGTGTAGAGCAGAGATTTGCAAACTTTTTCTACAATGGGTTAGATAGTGACTGTTTTAGATTTGGCACACTATACGTCACAACTACTAAACCCTGCTGTTGTAGTGTGAAAGTAGCTGTAGACAAGATCTAAATGAATGAACTTAGCTGGGACGCCTGAGTGGCTTAGCGGTTGAGTGTCTGCCTTTGGCTCAGGGCGTGAACCTGGAGTTCCAGGATCGAGTCTCCCATCGGGCTCCCTGCATGGAGCCTGCTTTTCCTCCCTCTGCCTATGTCTGCCTCTCTCTCGGTGTCTCTTGTGAATAAATAAATAAAATCTAAAAAAAAAAATGAACATAGCTTTGTTCCAATAAAACTTCATTTACAATAATAGGCAGGGAGCTGGATTTGACCAGTGGTCCATTATTGACAAACTCCTGATTTGGAGCAGTAGTGATTCTTTAATGAGTTCTTTTGCAGTCTTAAAATAGAAAACGAAATATAAAAGCAACAGTCACTGTTATGGAACTAGATTCTCAACAGTGAGGGTCTGAGTTTTAGATTTTCACGTTTTGAAATGTTTTAAAGTGGGATATAGCTATTTGCGACATCTTAGTTATGCAAAAAAGACAGTTAAGTACAGGTATGAATTGAACAAAAGCTTTCACACATTTGGCTTGTTGCTAGGATGAAAGTGGCAAATTCTATCAATTCTTAAGCCTCAGGCATTACTGATTGTCACCCAAGACCTAACAGGTTCTCCTGGCATAGCCTTGCATAATTGGACAGGCACCTCGTGGACTTTCTCCCCTTCTAAACCATCAGGTTTATGAGCCACTATTAGAAATGTTGTATACATTGTATTGGCAGTGACCTTTGGTCAGGTTGCATCTCTTTTGCCATATGCTTGCTGTGTTTTGTCTCTGAAATAGAGTAAGTATTGGTTAATATTTATACAAAATACTGTAAATGTGAAATTGATTAGGAAGGCAGAAATGTCCAAGTGAGTGACTCTGACTACTGTTTTCTGTTCACAGCGGCACATTTCAGTACACTCTGGAAGCCACCAAATCTTTGCGTCAGAAGCAGGGGGAGGGCCCCATGACCTACCTCAACAAAGGACAGTTCTATGCCATAACGCTCAGTGAGACTGGAGACAACAAATGCTTCCGACACCCAATCAGCAAAGTCCGGGTATGAGCCTCATTTCTTAAATAAAGCACAGAGGGATCAGATGAAGGGAATTGCTATCTAACAGTCTTGTGGAAGGGCGTGGAAAAAATTCCAAAATAAATAATTCTAGAACAAATGTCAGAGAGCTGGAGCAGGAGAACTTACTGGCTTCCAGTTTATCATTTTAATCAGTAACCAATAAATGCCAGGGAAGGGACATGGTTGGGGCATGCTTTCTGACTGTATTTTCCCAGCTTCCTTCATTGCGTTTGTGCTACCCAGTTGTTCTTGTTTTCAGTCAATTGATCTTAATTTTTCAAGCAAGTGGCTGTACATCCGACCTTATTTGTGGGCAGAAAAAGAGCTGCTGCTGTTTCCAGTATGGGGGGATGTAATTTATTGTGTCCTTTGCAACTTGGCTAAAGTTAAGCCTTCTGCAGCCCAGTGCTTGCTTACTCAGGAGTAAAGTGAGGCATGATATGATCCCGACCAGGAGTGACTTGGTGGAATTTTCACCTTCGTAAGTATTAGTTCTGTTTGTGGGAAATGGAACCGTGCTGGAAGTTTACCTGCTCTGGCATTCTTGCTGCTGCCAAGAAAGGGGGGGAACTGGTAACCCTTCTCTACTGAAAAGGAAAATCATAGCAGAGCTCTCTGAAAGGAGGTTGAAGGGCTTTCCTGCCCTATTGTAAAATGATTTATTTTACATGCACTGTGCATAGTGCCCACTCTATCTTATTTTGTCCGTAGCTACTGCCTCCTAAGCACTTCAGCACACTGAAAAGAATGCCATGCTGTGCCTAGAGCATAGTGTGTTTGCCCCCATCCTAGAATCCCCTGCAAAGATAGCAAGTAAAGTAGAAGAGAAAGAAGAGTATTTTGTCACTTGCTGGGCAGCTTGTCAGTTACTAGCTTTAGGTACAAATTTCAGTGGTGATCTCTGAGACAGCTAGATTTTCTGGCTTTGTTTTAATGAGAAAGAGAAGGAAGTATTGCCACTCATTTCTCAATCCTAAAGTTCTTCCTCCCTCCAAGCCTGTCCCAGTCCCAGATCAGAGCTGTAGGAGGCAGGGCAGTTGAGAGTGAGAAGAAGATGTGGAGCTCATGTTCCACCCAAGGCTGAGCCCATTGCAACTGGAAAGGTGCCTGGTTTGTTATGTGCCTGCCAGGGGAATTGGAGTGTTCCTACCCTCTGGTCAAGGCAGAGGGATGCCATCCTCCTCCTCCTTATTTTCATAATGGTGGAGGGATATAGTAATAATAACCAAAATAGTAATAACAGGAGCAGCCCAGGTGGCTCAGTGGTTTAGCGCCGCCTTCAGCCCAGGGCATGATCCTGGAGACCTAGGATCAAGTCCCACGTCGGGCTCCCTGCATGGAGCTTGCTTCTCCCTCTGCTTGTATCTCTGCCTCTCTCTCTCTGTGTCTCTTGTGAATAAATAAATAACATCTTAAAAAATAGTAATAACAACAATAATGGTAGAGAGATGCTATAATTAATAATAACAACAATAACAAGAGCCACAAAATAACAACTAGTATTTATTGAGTATATCTTCTATATGCCAGGCGCTATGTTAAGTGTCATGTATTTATAGCAATTCATTTGAAACTAACAACAACCCTATGACATAGGCACTATTTTCATAATATTACAGATGAGGAATCTTGGCTTTTTAGAGGCTAGTGACTGGCCAAGGTTACACAGCTAAAATGTGAGGGAATTAGGACACATCCCAGGCAGTCAGATTCTTAGACCTATTCTCTTAACCACTAGGGTACACTGTGTTGAGTCCCATGGAGGGCTAAAAGCCAGAGGCATTTTAGCCTGGGATTCACCTCTGGATATATATGCTAGATTTCACACTCCACAGCTTCCCATGTAGATGCCAGGTAAAAAGACTCTGGATAAACTTACTTTTTAAAAAACAATCTTGTACATTACAAGCAAGCATATAAGTCACAAATACCCCCTTTAACAACACCATTATCATTACCATGAAAAGATGATGGACGGTTCACATTCTAATGCCATGACAGGAGTTTTAAGTACAGAAACTTTTCCAAGAATTTTGCTTCATTGAAATCATATAAATAATTTAATATGGAAGTTTTCTTTCCATCTGTTTTATTTTGGCTAAATCAAGCCCTCCTTTCTCAAGGACTTCAATCTAACACCTTTAGTGAGTTAGAATGGTGCCTCTCAGAGGGGATCTTTCTTATGCCTCAGCCCTAGGAGAATAAGTAAGCACCCTGGAGAAAGAGGGATTCACTTGGAACTTACCTGCATTACTTTGGAGAACTGTATTTCATTCTGAGTTGAAGCATGTATGCTTGCTTGGTAATAGCATTTTCAAGCTGACATTCGCTTTATCAGTGAAGACAAATTTCCAGATCAAGAATATGCCATTACTTGGGCTAATAATATAGTTATTTGCTAAGGAAAGAAAATATTACCTGTTATTTTTATTTTGGAACAGAAAGACATAATAAACACTAGGAGGCCACACAGTGAACTTTTACATAAACAGTAGACCTGCCCCTTATGTGTGGGGAATACATTCTAGGACCTCCAAATGGATGCCTGAAACCATGGATATACTGAGCCATATATATGCTATGGTGTTTCCTCTAAATACATACCTATGATAAAGTTTAACTTATAAATTAGCACAGTAAGAGATTAACAACAACAGATAATAAAATAGAACAGTTATAACAATACACTATCATAAAAGTTATGTGAATGTGGTATCTTGGTCTCTGAATATCTTATTGTACCGTACTCACTCTTCTCATGATGATGCGAGATGATAAAATACCTATGTGATAAGATGAAGTGAGTTGAATGACGTGGGCATTGTGACTGTAATGTTAGGCTACTACTGACCTTTGGATGATATATCAGAAGGCACGCATCTGCTTCTAGATTATGGTTGACCAAATGTGGGTAACTGAAACCATGGGGAAGGGGAACAACTGTAAATGGCAAAGTTTGAGGAGGTGGGAGAGAGAAGAATGAAGAGCTTGTAGCTCATATTTCACCAGCACAGCCAGTGGTTCCCCTTGTCATTTCTTTGTACCTTACCTTTGAGGTTCATGCTGCTTGTGTATTTGAATAATATGGATACATATTTCTAAACTAGTTTTCCTAATATCTGGTCTCTAATCCAACAAATATTCACACATACTTTGGGAATGAGCCAGATTTTGAAAGAACAGTACAATTGCAAGCATGTATTTGGTATCTATTATTTGCCAGACTCCAGGCCACTGTCCTTGTCCTCTTTGAGTTTGAAGTCAAAGGGAACACATTGTCATCGACTGAACAATTGTAAATAATTAAGTAAATGACTACAAGTGTGCAAAATGCTACAAAGGAGAAGTTATTAAGGAATGAGAGTCAATGAAATATTCTGGAATAGTAGGAAAATGTCTAAGGAATATTTTGGTTATGGAGTAAGAAGGAGAGAGGCAGTATCCCTGATACTGTAGTTAAGGGGATTTTTGGGGGTATGTGTTGATAACTTCTCCATCTCATAAGTGATAAGTGTGTATTTAGTTTAATGAGGGTTTTTATAATTTAGAACCAAAAGGGGTTGGGGATTCTTATTTCTACAAGATATAATTAGTTTCTCAAGCAAGTACATTCAAATTGCGTTGAAATAAATAAATAGTTGGCCTTACCTCTTTTGGTCTGTGAAATATCTGTAGTTTGGATCTGTGTTCCTTGGTATGAACTCATCTTGTGGTATTTCTCTCATTACTTTAGTATTTCTCTTAGTACTCCAGTATTCCAGCCCAAGGCACTTAATTAGTCTAGAAACAGATGCTTGCTTCTTTACAAATGGTGCCAAATTCTACATTTAAGAATACAATATTTCAGAAATGTGTTTGTTTTCAGTACAAAAAAAGATTTTTTTGGTATTCCCATTTACCTCGCATGGACGTGCTGTTAATTGGCGAATTTGGTTATGATTCATGGTAAAACTGATATGGAGGGCGCCTGGATGGCTTAGTTGGTCGTGAGTTTAAGCCCTGTGTGGAGCCAACTTAAAAAAAAAATGATGTAGGATTCTTTTTCCTGTGTACTGTTCTCATTCCCCAGGCATTTTTTAAGGAGGCCCAGTTTTAAACAACTGAGCTTGTCTGGGCTTTTGTCAAGCAAGAGAAGCAACATTATAGAAACACAGTTCTGCCAGAAGCAGAGGCTGTGAACAGAAAGTAAGATGCATGGCTCTCCCCTCTGCAGAGCGTGGTGATGGTGGTCTTCAGTGAAGACAAAAACCGAGATGAGCAGCTGAAATACTGGAAGTACTGGCACTCCCGGCAGCATACGGCAAAGCAGAGGGTCCTTGACATTGGTAAGTTGATCCTGACTTCCCTTTGTGGTCTTCCATGAACTGACATGTTGTCATGATGCCAAGGAGAGCCTGGCACACAACTCACAGCGAGGACCCACGTAGCTCTCAGTAAGATGTGCCAGGCACTAGTCTGGACACTTTTCCTTTGTCAGTACATTTAGTACAGGTCAGGCGGAGACATCAGAATCAGGCTAAGCTGAGTACAAAGCCTGGTTTGTTCTATGGAAGTCATCTGTGCCTTGTATAATAGCAGTGACACATTTGGATTTGCAAGGACTCTGTCAGTTTCTAAAACATGTTTCCATGCTCTCCTGTGTTTAGGCCTAACGGCTAGTCGGGCAGACCAGATGAACTCTTATCCCCCTGTGACATGAGTAACCTCAGGGTCATTTGACTCTAAGGTACTTGTCAAGGTACATGACTGGAAAGTGGGTTCTGGTTCCCTGATTATTTTCTTAGTGTTCCTTCAGCTGCTCATAGTACTAGGTGGTCTGGCAGACAAAACCTTTGAGAGATCTTTTCTAGCAGCAGAAGAGGAATGAATCTGCCAGGTACATTTTCTGGAGTCTCTGTATTCTTCAACACGACATCTGTGCTCTAGAGACCTGTAGTCCGTTGGGTGGGAGTCAAGTTCAGCCAGGAAGGCAGAGCCCATGCCAAGTGGTCCCGTGGAGGGAATTTGTTGCAGAGATTGGGAGGGCTGCAGGCACCATGAGGCAGTCCGGAGATAAGCAACAGCAGGAGTCTGTTGCTATTACTTGTAGGGCTGGAGGATCAAAGAGAGGAGGTTGTGGGTGTTTGGGGAGCCACCCAGTAAGAGCTCCAGCCATAGTGGGGGCTGCCTCAGCAGGAGCTGGGACCACAGACGGAGCAGCTTTGCAAGAGGAGGAAGAAGCACAGAGGAGTCACTGCCAGACACACCTCTCAAAGAATGCCAAGAGGGAGGAGAAGGAATGCCCGGTCTTTTCCCTGTCTTGTACTCTCCCACCAGTGCTTTCCAGGAGCCAAATTTTCCCTGAAGCCTTTGGGTATGTGATTGTAGCAAATGCAGTTTGTAGGAATCAACCTCTGGGATACAGCATAAAACTGAGGAAGTCAGTGATTGAATCTTAAAGTTTCTAGAGATTATTAAAAATGCAGACAGTAAAATATTTGTTTCTAAGTAATTTAGTATTTTTTATGCTATTTTTTGTAAGAAGTAAGTAAATTCTCATCTATGGGCTTTCTTACCTCCTTTTGCAGACCAAGAGGCTGCAATCCCAGTGAGCGTAGGCAAAGCAAAGGTTTCCATTGTGTGGGGTATCAGAAGGTATTATTGAGTCATTGCTTTAGTTTCTTACACACTGCAGTGATGGATTTTTTAGACCTTCCATCTCACCTTTGCCAAAGTCCTTGGACCAGTGGCACAGAGGATAGTGATTAGGTTAAGGTTAGAGACTCACAATAGAACATACTGAAACTAATTGTTGGTTTATCCTACAAAATGGTTACACCCCTACTTAACCCCAGTGCATGCCATGTGCACACACACACACACACACACACACCTTCTATTAACTAGTCAAACATAATTATCTAATAAACCAGGAAACTGAAGCTGAGAGAGGCCCACTGACCAAGTGGCTTACCCTTAGATAATTAGTGCAATAGGTAGGATTAGACAATCTTCTTCACCCAGTTCATACACAGAAACCACAAGATCGATTGACTAGGACAAGAGGTTGGGAATACTTGCCTTAACCTGCTTTGTAGCCAATCTACGTAGAGCAGAGGAACAATTTTATTTTATTTGAAAAGTTAGCCTTATAATTATTACCTAAGAAAATGAGAGGAGCAATTAAATAGAAATATGGACTAGATCCAAATAAGGCAAATAATAAAAGCATTTTACTGGCTTACCTGTTGGTTCAACTTTGATATTATTACAAGGGTTACTTTTCTTAGACCAAAATGATTTCTCAGCCTTCACAGGACCTCACATCTTAACTTTCTGATCGCCTCTTACCTGCCTTCGGACTTTTCTCTGTAACTCTTTACACACACATGTGCACACACATGCACACACACGATTTATCTTTGAGATTGAGCTCTGTGACTCTTTCGGCTACCTGCTCTGAACCTGAACCTGAAGGGTATTAAATCAGTCCCTTAGCTTCAGATGAAATGGATTTTCTGCCCACAGCTACAACCTGTCAGCTAATCACAGACGGTGAGGAAATATGCAAAAATCTTATATAATTCATTACTTTACTAGACTTAAAAAAAAAAGTCAAACCATGTGTTCCTCTGGATGGTTAACACCATCTCCAGCATAAAGGAGGAGCTGATGCTGGGATGGTGTGCACATCTGTGTGTGGCGCAGTGTCAGCAGGTAGCTCTGGAGGGCAGTGCTGAGAACATTTATGAAGGCCTTACCTTGCTTCCACCAGGGGTTTAGCAATGCCTGCTGAGGGAGAAGGGAGGCTGACGGGTGCATGTACCATGTAGTTGTCAGTGTGGATCAAGAACCTTCTAGTAGCCTCAAGAAAAAAAGGAAGACTCCAACATTTTAACCTCTGAAGCTGGAGGTTGCAATCGGGGCTCCCAGGTTGCAGGTTCCAAATCTCCACCAGTCACTGTGGTCACCCAGTTCAACTGGGCCGTCTAGGTAGTGATCTTGAAACTGGAGTTAGAGACCAAGATAGGGCCCCTTTCGCTAAAGCAGAGATTCCTAGCCCATGGTCTTGGGAGTCTGTGGGTGGACTTGAGGGAACCTCAAGCTCCTCGGGTTATGCACAACACACTTTTGTGTGTAGAGGTGTGCTTATTCTTTCTTCTCATTTTTCAGGGTTCCTGGGCTAACCAGCCCTCCTCCAGCTCTCTGTCTCTCTACCTCCGCTCCAAGGAAAGCCCAAGGAAACTTTCATCTCTCTTTGTATTTTTCCTTATTCCCCATCCCTTTAGCACTTATGCTCAAGGATTGCTCTGTTGTCTCTTGTCCCAGCTGTTGTCTGTTGTCTTGATGGCTGGCGAACAGTCTACATCTTTCCTGACATACATTTATCTCACTTGGATTAGAATGGTGTTTGCTCTTCAAAGCTGTTCCTCATCTCCTACAGACTTCTGATCCTCTGATTAGTTCCTCAGTGCTGGTTGCCAGATGGGGAGAGGATGCTCAGTGTCTCTGATGGAGTCCTTCCTGTAGGTCTGTGCAAGGAACAGTGGGGGCCGGAGGGCCTTGGGTGCAGGAAAGGAAGTAGCTCCTCAGAGCACATGGGGCCTTGACTCTTGGGTTCCTTGTATCCTGATTGGAGCTCCCAGTGAGGCTGCTCCTACATCACACCAGGCACGGCTCTCCTTGAGCAGATACTCGCACATTACATGGTTTGTTCTCTCACTTTTTGCAGGTCCTTGCTTGTTGTCACCTTATCAAAGAGACCTTCCCTGCCACCTTACCTAAATGGCACACCCTCATCACTCTCCAGCCCCTTTACCTTTGTTATATTGCAGAGCATTTATCTCCACCCTACATTTTACTTGTGTACAGATGTTTCTATTTCTTATTGTGCCCACCCTCCAACTGCAAGGTAAAGCCCATGAGGCCAGACCCTTGTCTGGGTTAGCGCAGGACCTGAGACATAGTGAGCTGTCAGTAAATCTTTTCCTGAATGAAGGAGTGAGTTAGTGAGTAGATGAACAAACGTGTGGATAAAACTTTAATTCCACTCTGGACGGAGTGAACTGGGTCCTCATAATGCTTCCCATGTGTTCCTTGTTTTCTGTGTACCAGGCTCTTTCTAGACGAAATATGTAAACATTTTATCCTTCGTCCACAAAACAGCTCATTTTCTTGTTTAAAAAGTGAGCCGGTGAATGGTTAAGAATTTTACCCAAGGTCATGTACCTGATGACTGGTGTAGGTGGAATGGAAGCCCAAGAGTGTCTGAGTTTGCACTCCTTGGTGTTTATTATACTCCGGTCCTCACTCCACTGTAGTTCATCTTTATATGGCAACCTGTAGGTAGTTCTTGGCCCTGCGAGGCCCCGATGCCTCGCAGAGTGACTGCAGACATCCGTGACCTGGCCTGGCGCTGATGTCCCCTCCTCTATGCCTTCCTCTCCAGATGTTGAGAACGTTTTGCAGTCTGGGAGAGGGTGGAACTCTTGGCTGCTGCTAGTTCTGACATTTCTGTAAGCCAGTTCAGATATGTGGTTCTTGTACATCAGGCCATAAACTATTTTGTTTGGGGGAGCGGGGAAGGAAACATTAGCAATTAGTTCTTACCTGATAAAAGTAAAACAAATAGACCTTGGTCCTAGTGTGGGTCCTGCTGCTTTTCAAAGCACACAAGCAGAGTTCTCCAAGCCTCACAGGTTCTTTCTTGTGAGCTTGTTGAATAACAGCAATTATTCTAGTTCATAAATGAGTTTACATTCTGCAGCCCAAGGAGCATTCCTGTGCCGATTAGACCTCATATCTCCTGTATAGAACCACTTAGATTGTTTCTGTTGTTTGCTCGTCTCTGTGGATGTCCCTCTGTAAGGACGCGGAGTTAGTGCTGGTCCCGTGTTCCCACCATCTTGCAGAAAGGTATAGGTACTCCATATTCATTCAGAAAACAGGCCAGACCCTTCATTAGGAACTAGCAATTCAGAGGTAATTAAGACAGAGTCCCTGTCCTCAGCCTGCTCGAGTCTGGAGGCAAGCAGATCAGTGGCTAAGATGTCACATGTCATATGGTGCCTTAGAGGAGTGCTTCCCTGAAGTGTTTCTGAGACCCCTTCCAAATGACAGTGAGAGCACATGAGGTCAGTGAGGTGGGGGAGGGTGCTGCAAGCCAAGAAACCAGCACAGGCTTATATAGCAATCCAGGCAGAAGAACCAAAACGAGATTGGCCGATTATCTTAGAAAGTCTGATGGAATTGTTAGCACAGATGGGGGCAGTGGCAACTGTTGTACGTCTTAGTAAGAGTGTCCCTTGATTGAACTAATACAGGCAGTAAGGTGAGGGAAGTTCTG